ATGGAGTGTCTTGGATGTCCTTCATAAAAGTTCGTTGAATTGAACAGAATGTTTGAAACAGTTTTGTAGTGTTTTTCTCTCAGGATGAAATTATGCTGGAATTTCAGGTTCTGAGGCATAAGAGAGAGACTGAGGGTCTGATGATGCTCCTAATATTCACTGCATTGAAACAATAGGCTTATTCTAGCAATAAACTATCTGTACAGTGGATATTATGAATTGAGTCATCTCAGTGGAGCCTACTCTGTAGAGACATTGAGGTCAGTGGCCCCATCTAAGAATAGGACCTTCATTTAAGTGTGAATGGTTCTGTAGCCTGAGCTGTGTGTTACCACTTGCCCTAAATCTGGGAAAGATATATATACATGGGGACACAGTATTTGTTAGTTACATAGACTACAAAAGCATTTTGCTTTCTTCATGACACACTGTCCAAAAAAAATTCAAATTTCCCAAAAGGAAACATAAAAAATAAAAATGTAATAAGAAGCTCACACTATAGTTAGAAAATCAGAAGAAACATTGTGGTAGGAACATGAAGTCTAAAATTTGAAAGCTTATACCGTGAAAATTCTTCTAGACATTCATTCCAACTTTTTGATTTATCATTTTTTGTGACTGAGCTCAGTTCATTCAGTGGCTAGACAGGTTCTTTAGTATAGAAGACTTGTAATTCAATGAGTCATTGCTGAAATTGTGATGATTAGATAGAGTCTTGATATTCCCGTGGCTCTACTAGAATGGCTTATAATGTCTTGTTATGCAACACAGCGACACTGGGCTAGGAGCTGTGCCAGCCCTCCCATTTACCTCCCCCATGTCTGGGGGTAAATCCCCGAATTTCTCTAAGCCTCAAATTCCTCAACTGTAAAATGGGAATAATAATGGCTTACTCAGTCTACTCCAAAGGGCTGTTAATGAAGATCAGAGGAGTTACTCCCTATGTAAATTCTTTGTGACCTATAAAGCTCTGCTTATTTGCCATGTTATTACAATGGGACAAGCCACCCAGGTGGACTGGTTAAAGGCCAGTGGCACCACTACCCCAGTGATGTTAATGAGAGCACTGCGGGCCCAGGCAGTGGAGTGTGTTAGTGCCCTTTCTTTCCACGGCCTCACGGGCAAGCTAAGACCTTGTAAGGCGTCACTCTTTTGGACGGCTGCACAATATAACATGCCAGGATATTATAGCAGTAATTTACTTGCAGGCAGCTGACCAATTTATAATCAGAGGTGATCTTTTTGAAGCAAGGACTCAATCCCTTATTGTGAATACAGGTAGCGCAAGGAAGTCAGGAACCAAAATAAACCTTTTTTGGATCTCAGTAGGTTGAAGATTCAGAGCAGCAAATTTGTTGTTGCTGTGCTTGTGTTTATCTCCTTAAATGTGCACATATCTATTTTTATAGCTTGGACAAGTTAATGTGCAAGTTAATTGAAACTATTAACTGAAAGTAGATATTCCAGATATGCTTTGATAATACGTACTCACAGGTTTTTTTCTTCTTTTTTTCATTTCTCTACCCACTTGAAGGCCAGTTTCTTATTATTTTTAGTTCAGGCTTATCATAAGAGTGACTAATATAGTAGGGGAAAAGTTCCTCATTCTGAGAAAATAATCTGTTTCTCTACCGCCCATTTGGATAAAGAAGTGTGGGAAAAATTAAGAATGAATTTCTCATTTTCACTGACAGTTTTTCCCCACTGACCCCTCTTTCTTTTCCAGGCAGCCAAGAATGGTCTTAATCTGTGTAAAATTCTGTATCAGTTTTGTGCTTAAAGGTGTGAATAGGGCTGCGAATCTGTTGATTTTATAGACCATGAGGAAAGGGCAGCTTTTGTAGCCTGATGCACACAGATATATACACACAACGCACACAATGTACACGTATGTGTAAAGGACACAATATAACATGCCAGGATATTATAGCAGTAATTTACTTGCAGGCAGCTGACCAATTTATAATCAGAGGTGATCTTTTTGAAGCAAGGACTCAATCCCTTATTGTGAATACAGGTAGCGCAAGGAAGTCAGGAACCAAAATAAACCTTTTTTGGATCTCAGTAGGTTGAAGATTCAGAGCAGCAAATTTGTTGTTGCTGTGCTTGTGTTTATCTCCTTAAATGTGCACATATCTATTTTTATAGCTTGGACAAGTTAATGTGCAAGTTAATTGAAACTATTAACTGAAAGTAGATATTCCAGATATGCTTTGATAATACGTACTCACAGGTTTTTTTCTTCTTTTTTTCATTTCTCTACCCACTTGAAGGCCAGTTTCTTATTATTTTTAGTTCAGGCTTATCATAAGAGTGACTAATATAGTAGGGGAAAAGTTCCTCATTCTGAGAAAATAATCTGTTTCTCTACCGCCCATTTGGATAAAGAAGTGTGGGAAAAATTAAGAATGAATTTCTCATTTTCACTGACAGTTTTTCCCCACTGACCCCTCTTTCTTTTCCAGGCAGCCAAGAATGGTCTTAATCTGTGTAAAATTCTGTATCAGTTTTGTGCTTAAAGGTGTGAATAGGGCTGCGAATCTGTTGATTTTATAGACCATGAGGAAAGGGCAGCTTTTGTAGCCTGATGCACACAGATATATACACACAACGCACACAATGTACACGTATGTGTAAAGGATTGAAACCCGTGGGACATTTTGGGAGAGCTCTTTAAATGGCCATATTTCAGGAATGCAGCTAGAGTAGTCGTGGTAACTTTGGTTTAATGTGGGTCATTGGAAGTGGAGATGCAATAAATGGAAACTAGTACTAGCAACATAGAAATACATATTAATTTTCTTTGTAACAGTGCTCAGGTAACACAGCTTTTATAATGTTAAAAGAATATGCCATGATTAGGCAGTTGAAAAGGTTGAATGGCAAAGAGAATAGTTTAAATTTAACAAAGGTATTTAATGATTATATTTTGGAAGCCAAATTTAAATTTCCAACTGAGATTTGCTTTGCAACTCAAGTCTAGAGCTATGAAGGCAAAACTCAACAATTAGGTAACTCGATGTGAATCGCATGTCATGAATAGTTGTATATGTTTGTTGAAATTAATGGCAGAAGAATGTAGTAAAAGAAACGTCTTAATTTTAGATTTTGGGACAAGTAGCAAAACTTTGACTTTGGTATTATCACCATTAAACTGTTGGAAATTATTGGTTAAATTGAATTGTATTTGTGAATAAAATATCCATTGTACAAAGTGACATTATGGATTAAAAGAAATTTTTTTAAACAGAGTAACTATGCCCTAATGAAAGGCACCTTTCAATGTAGATTCACTTACATTCTCTTAGATTTCCTATTCCTTGCTTTTGGCTATTCTTAATTTAAAAATCAAACCATGCCATTTAAAATCAAGAATGTATCAAGTGCCATTATGAAATGTTTCAGGCTGCAATATGAAAACATAAAAATCCCAAAAAAGTCAAAGTCTACACTCATTAATTTTAGAACATCTACAAATTCAAATATTAGTCTTAATTTTGACTTTGGTTTATTACCTTTTAATTATCAAGCAGATGACATCTCAATTTTCTCATCTCTAAAGGGAGGAGAGAGTTGCAAGTATCTATTAGCAGAGTTGATGTGAAAATGGTATCAAATATGGTGATTTATCTAAAAGTGCTTTGTAACTAAAGAACTGTGCAAATGATGCTACTTGAAAATATGACATTGACGTCTTTTTATTTAGAAGCTAATGTCAGAATGTCTATTTGCTGATACAGAAATCAAGAGTTTTCTGCTCTTCATTTTTCATCATTTTTGGTAGAAATACTGCTTTCATATCAACATGGAAATTAAGATACTTTAAATAATGCTTGTAATATAAGCATATCAGTTTAATTTTTGAAAGAGGTTTATAAAAATATACATGTTATTGTTCCTAACACTTAATATATATCCAGCCCTAAGATGTGATGAGAAATAGCTTGCTAGAACTGATGACTCTACTTAACTGTTTTAATAAGTAGCATATTTGTATTTAGAGACCATTTGAAGTATTATAGGTATTCTTAGTGATGTGATACAGTTCTTCAAAGGAAATATGTATTTATATCCTGCTTATACATTTGGGCAAAAATAGTAATAACACTTTCAAAATACTGATGGGAAAACGAGTCACAATAAATATGTTGGATTCTTAAGATAAAGAGATGTACAAATCTCAGAGTTAAAGCATTCTGCCTATAAAAATAGTGCAATTGGGATATACTATTTTAGTAAGAAACTCATTAAGTGCAACTTTAAGAGCTTCTTCTTTCTCTTCTTTTTTTTAAACTTTGACATTCCAGTAAACTGTGAGGAAAATGTCCTTCCAATTGTTTTTCCTTTGCTGAAGTGTCTAGAAGTGAGAGTACATTCAAATTAAAAACAGAAAGTCCCTTAAATCCTTTCCAGAAGTCCATTCTGTAAGTACCACTCCTAGAAGAACTATGGCTATTATTACTTTTGGCTGGAACAAGACTGCAAAAGGCTTCAAGAAGAAATAGAAATTGTAATGGGAGTTTTCTGCCATTCTTATAGTTTATGGCCTATTTGTTCCTTTTTTAGTCCATTGAGATTTTTTCCACCACGAGGTCCTATCTCTAGAAGGAAATCTTTGACAATGATATTTAAGAGTAGCATGTAATAAGATATTTATATCCAGAATTCCAAAAAATGTTTAATTTCTATAATAATAATAGCAAACTAATTATAGTGAATAATAAATAGGAAACTAATTATAATTATCTGGAGTGCTTTCCTACTCACAGATTCCTTCCATACCTATTATTTAATTTTGGTGTTCATGCTTCAAGCATGACTGGTAAATTTGTTCTTTTATGGAAGAAGACAAGACACCTGGAAGGCTGATGTGAATGCCTCAAAGCGCCATGGCTGAACCGTGGCTGAGCTGAGCTGAGACTCAAAGCCAGGTCTCTGTTTCATTTCCTGTGTGACTTGACATAACCAAGTGATACTCATTCATTTTTCTTACATTCTAGGTCTCTCTTCTGTCAGCCCCTCGTGGACTGACACCGCCGGCTGAAGGAAGGCTGTGACTCTAGTCTCGAATCCTCTATCTCCCTGATTCCCATAATGAGTTCGCCAGTGCCTCCAGGTCAGTCTGGTTCCATCTTAAAACATAAACAGACTTTACTTGAAAGGTCTTGCTTTGTGTGCTTGGGCTTAAACTCCAAGCAGTTTAAGTCATGAAAGGCCTTTTATTTTTCTGATGAAGATTGATAGATACAATGAATTTTGAATTTTGTGTTCTACAGCTAATTCTCTATTATGAAACCCAGTTTGCTTTCTAGGCAACTCATTTTGTTTGCACTGTTATCTGAGCACTGAGCTTTAATTCTTCTGCTTCTACTGTAGCATTTGGATTGAATTTTATGAAGGTATAAATATTTATTAAATATGAGGTAGGCATCTAATTCACACCCATACTCTTTCTGACAATATGCGTCTGTATGCTTTTAAAATGTGTGGTGGGCTTCGGAAATCAGCTTGTGGATTCACTCCTCCTCCATCTCTTTGGTACACAGGAAGGATATTTCTCGTACCCACCCTTCTATGCTGCCACTCCTATTTCATATATACATATTTAATTATAATCTTAGCACCTGCTTCCTCTGAGTCCAGTGTAATGTGTGGCTCAAGTATTGTTGCAATCAGCATAGCCAACACCCATTCCTACAGGAACAGGGTGCTGCTTCTGGAACAAACACACTCCATCTCCAGACTGATGGAGTAGGGTTAGATACCATATGTCAAGCATAGACAGAATTTAAATAATTTTCTGCTTAGATCATTATAGGAGCATTTATTTCTATCTATTTTTAAAAAATATTTTAATATATTGATGTCCTTGAGTTATCCAATGCCTAAAGTTGAAGCTAATGCAATATTTTCAGGATTTATAAAGAGAAATCTTTTGCCAAGATTGTTCACTCTGTGGAGTGCCATGCCCAGACTAGCTGCTCTGAAGTGGTCTCATCAACCTTTCCCTACATCCCCAGCAGGCCTCCAGCTTGTATGTTGGATTTGGAACTGGAAATTGTTGGAGAGAATAACAGATTGTTGATCTAAATGATATAGTAAAGATATTCTGGAGTCTTTAGTCACAATCAGGATTTATAACTGCGTTGTCATTTGGATAAACCGATGAAGAGTTACTGAGGCCTCTTATTTCTGAATCCCTTTAGCCTGGTGGTTCTCAACAGTTAGCATGCATTACCATTACTAGGAGAGCTTGCTGAAAATAAGTCCCATCCCCATCATTTTTGATTCAGTAGGTCTGGAGTGGGGCCCAAGAATTGCAGTGTTTACCGGGTCCCCGTGGCAGTGATGTTCCTGCTGCCTGGAGACTTCATTTTGGGAACCACTGGTCTAGCCTGCTCCCTGTCCATCCCACTCCACCTGCCCATCCCCACCCCTGTGTCTGGTCACACCCTCTGTACTTTTCACAGACACCCCTGTGTGTGAGCTGCATTGCTCATCACAGTTACAGTCTCATATTATTACTATTTTTATTAAATGAACTTAAAAATCATGTTTGCATTTAAAGTACATATTATTTATTTATTTACTTATTTAATGTTTTATAATTACATAATAAATTAGGCATTTAGTTTAGAATCACCATAGTCAAACTTTTTTGTGTTGTTAGAATGTGTTGAAATCACTTCAAGACCTACTAAAAGCAATAGGAACAAACTGGCTAAATACAGAAGACTTCCTCATTTCTAGAAGTTACTGTCTGGAATTTATGTAGGGCTTTGGCTTTTAATTCTATAGACCAGAAACTATACTTTTTATGCATTTTTAAAAAATTGTCCATGTCCCTTTATTTTCTACCTACCTCCCCCAAATCCTCCCCACATTGTTTATCTCCCACCTTGCTTCACAGAAGCATTACAGGGCAGAATGAATGATGAGAGGATGGAATTTGTAGTAATGGAACCCAATTACGTTCAAATGAAACATGTGAAATGGCATTTCGACCCAAATAGGTAATCTTGAAATGGACTCAAAATGCAGAAACCATCGAGTTTAATGAAGGATTAAACTGTATAGGAAAAAACATATAAATACTGCAGTTGTAGCAATTTCAGTGTCTATATGGTCTTTATTTATCATCTTTCTAACACATATAGACTTGGACCCACTATTTTTTAATAAGAAACCTATTATCCCTTTAGAATACTGTTGTAAGTGGTTAGATTTCCAGTTTAGGGCACCAAAGCCCATTTAAAGATAATTATCTTACAATGAATGAATGTAGAAATATTTTGGCAAGTTTAGTTGAAAAAGAGAATCAATACAATGTAATAGAAAATATTTGAAAAGTGGACCAAATGGCAGAAAGATAAACAGGTAAGAAATTTTATGATGATACTTGCTGTGAGCTATGGAGCCCTTAGGGAATTTCCTCAGGTAGGTCTATATTACATGTCATTTCATTCAAAAGTAATTTTTTCTGGGAGATTGGTGTAGGGTGATCCACTCTTAGTTTTCTCATCTGATGTATGCTACAGTGCATAGGGGTGAGATTTTTGTTGTTGAGTCAACTGCTTAAGAGGTAAAGTACACTGGGCAAGAAGACTATGGAAATGGTATATACATGTAAGAAACAGATGGTCGAAAGTAACATTTGCTGAACTTCGTGAGGTAGAAGACAGAAGGAAGACAGATGAGTGCATGCACCTAAATTCTCCTGAGGGAGAAGAAACAGACATGATTCAAGAGGATTTGAGGTTCACTTGAAGCCCTTTATCCACCCATCATAGGTTGTGGTTGGGCAGAAAGTAGACATGAATCCATTATTTCAAGGTGCACATGGAGAAGGAGAAAGTAGTATGTATACCTCAGCTTCTTATATTCAAGATGATAACTTGTAGCTTTTTAAAAAAACTTAGAGCTGCTGTATGTAAATGTATTATAATATGTAAGATGGTCAAATACACTGAGCTCTTTCAGAAAAACATGTAGTCAAATAATACCAAACACTTTAATTCCACATACACCCAATACTGGCTCATAACTGATAGTATTTGACAACTGAAATCAGCATGGCCTGCACCTGAGAATGAACAATTTTATAACATGAAGATATCCTCCAAGGCTGCTCTTTTGATGAGGTAGTTATTGCCAGCCTTGATAATTGTTCAGGTGCGAGAAGGGACAAAGTGAGTAATAAATGAGGCAACTACCTAGTGCAGCTCATTTGACTTGAAAGTCATTCAAAGTTCCTTGTGTGCTTTCTTTCTTATAAATACATCTGCTCTTTTGAGAACAGCATTATACAGAGGTCTTAACTCCATTTGGGAAATTTTTATGAATGAAATATGACTTGGGGGAAGCTGTAACAAATAGACCAGATAGGTGGGAGTCTTTTTTATTCATTGCAAGTGCAAACTATGCTCAGAGACCTGAAATGCACTTTGCATATATAAAGGAATATGTTCTGGCTCCAAACATAAAGGCATCCTTCTACTATTATTAGCTTGTATCTTATGGTGCCATATATATTTTTTCTCCAGATGAGCAATAACATCCTTTGACTTAGAAAAAGTGTTTTTCTTATGTCTTCTTTTTTTATTGATCTATCTTAAGAGAGGATTAAATTGGTCTTATGCAGTACCATCCATTTATTTTCCTTTTGTTCTGAAAAGGGCTCTAAGGAGTTATTATGCACCAGAAAAATAGACTTACTCAGTTATTCTAGAAATTTTTTAATAATCAGTGTTTTGGATGGAGCAGTTGTGACTGTCGTGAAAATTGGTTCGGGGGTTGTGTGAATTCTTATTTTCTCCATGCATTGGCACCATTCTTATAAAAATTCTCCCTCCATATTCAAATATAGTTGATATCAAGTACTAAATATTACTGTCTTGATCATGTATTCAGTCAGACAATAAGTGCTGATTTCTGAATATTGAATTCACTGGTTTTAATTTTGTTAACCCAATAATGTTCTAGGAGCACTCAGTATTGCTTTTGGCCACTGAGAACCTGAATGGAGGGAAAATTCTCTGGGTAGCATGGGCAGCTAACTGCTGCAGTTGAGATAGTCATTCATCCAAAACTTATTAGGCATCTATTTTGTGCTATCAAGTGTGATATTCAGTAAGAACACAATGAGTCTAAAACATGGTTTCTACCCTTACAGACAGCACCCTTCAGTGGGAGAGACTGAAGTGTAAATAGAGTTTCAATCCATTCAGTGTGTTAAGTATGTTAATAAATATAAGAGCAGAATCTCTTCTGTATTGCAGTATTGATGCCCAATTCTAGTAATTTAATTTTTATCAGGATTGGCAAATCTCAGAAGGAAAGATTTTAGGGTTAGTCTAGTTGAGAGTTTCTCAAACATGTCAGATAATAAAAATAACCCAGGGCTCTTGTTAAAAGTACAGATTCTCAGACCCTCCCCTAAAGACACTTAGGCAGTAGACCTGGGGTGTGGGCGATCTCCTCAATAACATACTGGACAGTGCTCTTCACTGACCTGGCGAAGGGTAGAAAGGTGTTTAATCTGTCTCACAAGCACTAGTGTTTCTCATTTTGACATTCTGGAAAAACAAAAAACTATATCATTAAGCCCTATTTCAATATAGGTATTTCTTCTGTGAGCTAAGATATAACTCAGTTATTTTGCTTTCTTATAAATAAAAAGCTAGTGCTGTTGAAAATGAGAGGAGGTAATAATTTGTGGGGAAACTCTAGTGTCTTATATATATTCTCTGCTACATAGGCCATCCTGTTTTCATGTGGAGGTGAATCAAAGAGATTATTATAGATAGAATATATTTTTTCTCTCTTCAAGATAAGTTTCTACCTATTTTAACCCAGATCAGATTTTTAGTATGATCCCAAGATTTTAGAAAACATGATTTGAGCCTGGACATCAGTACTAGCATGATTCCAGTATGACTTTGAATTGTGATGAATCTAATTTATATAATGTAAGTTTGATGAAAATGCACCCAGAGGAATCTTCCAGACATACAACACAATGTCATGATGCCTCCTGGAGTTTCGCGGTGCTGTGGCCTTGTGGGCTTCCAGGTGAGTTTGGATGGTGGAGCTGCTGTAGCTCTTCTGGGAAGTCCT